TCGTCACCCAGTGCCCCATTCAGCAAGGTAATACATTCCGTTACCAGTGGACAGGAAATGCTGGCACACACTTCTGGCACGCCCACACAGGTCTTCAAAAACTGGATGGACTTTACGGTAGCGTTGTCGTCCGTCAGCCGCCCTCTAGAGACCCAAACTCGCATCTATATGATTTCGATTTGACCACTCACATAATGCTTATCAGCGACTGGTTGCATGAGGATGCGGCAGAACGCTACCCTGGACGTCTGGCCGTCAATACAGGTCAAGATCCTGAATCAATGCTGATTAATGGTAAAGGCCAGTTCCGCGACCCCAACACTGGTTTCATGACCAATACACCGCTGGAAATATTTACGATTACACCCGGCCGTCGCTACCGTTTCCGTATGATAAATGCATTCGCCTCTGTCTGTCCGGCTCAAGTAACAATAGAGGGTCATGGCATGACTGTGATTGCAACTGACGGTGAGCCTGTTCATCCTGTTGACGTCAACACAATCATTTCCTTCTCAGGTAAGTTAAGCTGTATATAAAATAAAATATAATGGTTCAAATGTGTAAGCAAATATATGTTATGAAAAAATTATCCATACGAATTAAATTCAATTGAAGATAGCACTTATAGAATGCAATCGTACATATGTACATTCCTTTTTTGACTCTTACATAACATACATAAAAAAGAGTCGGTCTATTATTGTCTAGTGTTTTATTGGAAAGAAAATAATTTAAAAGGCAGGTCATATTTATAATTTTGTATTTACACTTATGTACAATAACCAGTCAATGTCCCGGTGTCCCTGAGGGGTTTAAATTAGTCAAGATATACTCGTTGAAGTATATATATTGATATTTTATGCACACACATGTATGTATATTGACTTGTATACATTCATACATATACAATCTGCCTTTCACTTTTCTGACCGTTCCAAGCAGCATTCCATTTTGCAGGTAAGCAGAAATACTAGCAAGCTCAGACATAATCAGCATCAATATAAAATCACCGAGTTCCCATAGTATAGAAAATTCCACCATATGTATGTATGTATGAATAAGAAAGAACTTCCTAGCGAGTAATTAAGATACAATACCATAAGTGCAGGGCACTCTAAAATACAGACTACCTATCAAAGCTATGAAAGTAACCACAACTTATCTCCGCATTAACTTGTAATTTTAGGCGAGCGATACGATTTCGTTATCACTGCTGATCAGCCCGTAGGCGCTTATTGGATACAATTACGTGGCCTTGGTGAGTGCGGCATCCGTCGCGCTCAACAGCTTGCCATTCTGCGATACGCCCGTGGTCCATATCAGCCTGCGTCGGCTCCCCCAACATACGATGTAGGAATACCTCAGGGTGTGGTAAGTACACACATACATTTTTAATTTTAATAAAATTGGCTATTTCGGTCATTGTTTGGATCAATGGGGTTGTATAGAATTGTAAAATATATTCCTCTATGTATGTATGTACATAGGTAGTTCCTTGTTGAAAGCTAATTACTTTTAAAACATTGAAGTGCTCTGGCTAAGTAATTTAAAACACATATACATATGTGCACCGTAAATAGTATTATTATATTTCAAAGTAAATCAATTAAATAACCTGGTTACGTAAACTGTTATGTAAATAAGTATTTTACAACGGTAAATGCCTGTACGCATATAAACTTGCCTACCTTTTGCCAGTACAGTAGGGCGACGTCAAAAGATAGAGCGCACTCAAAATAAAATGTATAACTATATAAATCTATGTATGTAATATCTTTCTACTATTTTTTTTCAAAATCTCAAACGTGTAAAATATCGACACTTTCAAATCGACTTAAACGTTTTCTTATGCACCTGTAAATAAAAAACAACACAAATAATGGTAAATCTTGACGAACGACAAATACGACATAAAAGGTCATGAATCCCCTGGATGCTCAATGCAACCGTCAACGAAACGATGCCATATGCGTAAGTCAATTGAAAAACGCTCTTGAAATAGATCGCGGAATTTTGGCAGAGAAGCCAGACGTGAAGATTTTCCTACCGTTCCGATTCTTTGTATACCGCGCGGAGGATCTTTTCCAGCCCAACACATACAACAGATTTTTGGGTAAGCAATTCAAGAGCTGAAAAGATGTAATCATCTAATTAAACACATTGCAGTGGCACCCACGGGAGATCATGTGATTTCGCTTATCGACGAAATATCCTACTTATCTGCACCAGCGCCACTCACATCGCAGTACAATGATATTAACCCCGAACAATTCTGCAACGGCGACAATCGACCAGCCGACTGTGGACCAAACTGCATGTGCACTCATAAGATCGACATACCGCTTAATGCTATTGTGGAAGTTGTTTTGGTAGACGAAGGTAAGCAGCACTAATAAAATTCTTCAGACTTATTTTGTCATATATATTTTTTAGTGCAACAACCAAACTTGTCGCACCCATTCCACTTACACGGGTACGGGTTCAGTGTTATTGGTATTGGCCGATCGCCTGATTCGTCAGTAAAGAAAATTAACTTAAAGCACGCGTTAGACTTGGACAGACGGGGACTTTTGCACAGACAGTATAATTTGCCACCGACAAAGGATACGATTGCGGTGCCCAACAATGGCTATGTCGTGCTCCGTTTTAGGGCCGACAATCCCGGTAAGTTGTTTGGTCATGGTAAAAATTTGTATGCAATATAGACTAATGCAGCATTCTCTTCTTCAGGCTTCTGGCTTTTTCACTGTCATTTTCTATTCCACATCGTTATTGGTATGAATTTAATTTTGCAGGTCGGCACTAACGCTGATCTGCCACCCGTGCCTCCAGGTTTTCCTACATGTGGCGATCACACCCCACCCATACCCATAAATTAGACAATGGCACACACATACGCCAGCAACACCCAAAAAGACCAAGTTTAATGCGGCTGCTCATCTAATTGAAACACGACACTAAAAAATTATACTTGTAAACTTTAAACAAACACGACACCTACTGATTGTATAGTGTGTACAAAGCTTCCATACATATTTGTACGTGTATATGAATGTAGATACACATCTGTATGTATGTATATACTTATAAGCACTGTATCCTAAAAAAAAAGCACTGCCAGAGTCCAATTGTATGATAGATAATGCCAACATTCGGTAAAATTTTGACTATTCCTACTCACACTCACACCCAGGTGCATGAATTCATTTATGTACATATGTTCATATACATAAAAATGTACGTACATAGGCTTAAAATATTTGTTTGTATGCATTAACAGCTCCAGCGAAAAGATGCCTGTCCCTATTGTATAAAATGCACTTGAACGCAAAGTGTATAATTCGCTCGCCATCTGCACATGCACCAACTAATATGCATACATACATATGTACATAATTTTGTACATTTTTTTATTCCCCTGTATGTTTGAAATGACTGCAAGCATCCGAATAATTTCATTACTTTCTGCAGATCAAACCGTGTTCACTATATTATAAACTAGTAGCTTTTTCAATGTTTAGCTAATGACCTTTTTAAAATATGTACATATATATATATATATATATAGGTATAGGTATATACATGCATATGTACATACATACACACATTTGTATGTTCGCATAAATATACTTATATATCTTTCCTGCTGGTGCCTAATCGTTCAACACCTGTAAAAGCATTTGATGCAAAATGAAATAATATCGTTTAGCATTCAAAATTGTTCGTCTATGTAAGTTGTATTTATATACATATGTATACAAACATATCAATTAAACAATAATTCTATTAATTTTTAATGTATATACACTGTTTATATAAATAAAATATCTATAATGCTTAAACTTAATATACTTATGACACTTTGAGGAACGCGCACATAAGATCAGCTTGCAGAAGGCATATACACATACATTGGTGTGTACTAATGCAGAAAATTAGAAAATTAGGGTATAGAACAAATGAAGGATGGGCCTAAGAATCGAAGCCTTCTTTTGTCGAGACCAGAGCAGAAGCAGAAAAGGTGTTTTACCGGCGTTATCTTCCCACTCATACTTGCAGCCTCGGCAACAATAATTGTAGAGGGCATCCAGGCTGTTTTGCATGGGTGCCTGTAAGCCAATGTATTGTGATGAAGCATTTGACAGCGCGACACCTCTTCCTGCTGAGCTTGAAGAGTTCAGTGGTGCACTTCTTTATAACGTTTAGTGATTTGATCACAGTTTGTCTTTCTCTTAGCTATATTGTACACGTATGTTTATTTGAGTGTGCATGATGGCCACTCTGACGAGTTTTCTAATCTGCCAAGCTGTCAAAATCCCCGAAGAAAGTCCTACTAATACTGGTATCGTCATCTAACAAAACAGAAAAAAAGGATATATAAGTGATAGTCAAGGTGGACATAACATGCTTTTCCTAAAGAAGAGTAGTCAGACAAGATATATTTCACTATTTCTTCAACAAAACTTTTAGCTGTCGAAATTTTGCCACCTAGTACTCAGAAAAAAAATTGATGATTTTTAATCTATAATCTGCGGGTATGCCTCGACTACAGAATGGTTAGCCACTAAAACAGCAGCAGTGAAGAAAGTCATAATAATCCCATCTATCTTGGCTACTGTTTCATCCAGAATATACCTCTGGATCATGGATAGTTTAACCATCGGCAATAGAGACTCCGGTTACCCACAAGGTAGGATTGCCATCTTATGAGATAATATGGCATCCCTGTGCGCAGGGTCAGGTGCGCGCTCCTGCTGGGATACTTTGACTTCTTGAAGCCGAGTGACAGTTCCGAACTCGAATTCTCGCAGACTTTCGTTTAGCGCGCGTGTGTAATCACAGTTGTCGTGACAATTCTCGCCGTAACTGGCGCTAGCTTCAGCATTTCCCTCTTCCGCAGAAATCTCCCCCATCAGGCTGTTGAAATAGTACTGTTCTTTGAGGTGTGTCCTAGGAATTGTCAGTGCTCCAAGAGGTCAACCACGAATGTTAAAAATATCAATTATATTAAATTAAATGTATATGTATAAAATACAACTGAATTGGTGGGTGGGTTCAATAATTTTCTGTAGATTTGCAGTCTGAGTCATAGCCTCTATAGCGAAAAATCTAATACTTCGATAGCGGATAGTTGAATCTAATGCTGTCCCACCTTTCATGGTTGTACTTATCTTAGCGAGCGATCTTCGGATCTTCCGGGCCAAAATTTGTCGTATTGTTTGAACGAGACAATCGTTTCATATATTCGGTTACTACAATACAAATACCATGTTAGCTCACATTGGTAGCCGGTAAATCATAATCAGGCAGGCTCCCGTTTTCACTTACTTTTCCGTTTTATGTTTTTAGCCAAAAGTCAGACTCGCAAATGTTTGTGATCGATGCGATTTTTTATCATGTCCTGTTAAGCGCAATATTTAGTGTCATGCCCACGCGTTAGTGCTTTTCTCAGACAAAGGGCCTCTGTATCTTAACACGATATTTCGATAACCAAATCAGGCTGCTACAGCTGTTCACACGGAAACGCAAGGCGTTGTTGCATTGACCAATTTTTGTAAATCCTATTTTAAAGTTGGGCTTAAATAAAAAAAGGTATAAGTTTAATTACGTTGATAATGGTGTCAATACATCAATAAGCCATATATTTTTATTCTTATGCAATTAAGATTCATTTTGTTGTATAAAGAAGCCTTCTAATTTTCATTTCGGTGAGGAATATTTTGCCGTTTTTATAACGAAAAAATTTTGCGTTTTGCGAATGCGGGTGCCAAAAACTTTCCGTTTTCAAAATTTTTAGAGAAAGTAAAAACCGGAGCCTGCCAGATTCTGTTGTTTTCGATTTTTGCCATATATGTATATTAATAACGTGACTTTTGTTTCAGTACATTTTTAATTAAAATTTGATCAGCCTTTTTAACAAATTACTCATGTTTGAGACGTAGGCTTAGGTCCTCTCGAAAAAATCCAAAATTCTCTGATTTTGTCGGTAAGTATTAATTAAATATAGCGTTTCGACTATTCAGTGCATATTTAATTAATTTAATTTAATTTTTTTCAACCGAGGAAGTAGGCTTTTCCTTTAGTAAGATCCAGGTCACGTGCGTAATCCAGGCAGAAACGGGCTCCCGCCAAACGGAAAGATAGGTGTTAGACTAAAATTGGAGGAAAATTAGAGCTAAACACAGCTCAAAGAGCTAAACACGCAAAGCTAAGAAATAGTACTAATTACGGGAAAGGTACATATGTATGTTAGTATTAGTGATTTAAGAAGAGGAAGGGAATTAGTGGTGGAAATAACATGGTAGAGGGAATTGAAGTCCGAGAATTGGACCCTAAATGGTCCGTGCAAATATCTAAAGTCAATCTGAAAAAGGTGGTTTGACTACAGGATTTTTTAAAACCTGTGTCTATTTGAAAAATTGTTCTACCTGCAACCAGGCATAACTTGTATGTATCTTTTTATTCTCAAAAAAATCTGGAGACTCAAAAACTTATCTGGCCGTACGTACTTACATACACAAATACATATGTACATACGCGAATGCAGTTTCATATTATAAGTGGCTAGTATTATATTGCTAGCATCATATTTAATGTTGAGGCATAAAAATGGTTATATATTTAAACAATGTATCCATATTCACAGATTCTCAACCCACTTGATGCTATTTGTGATCGTAAACGACAAGATGCAATTTGCGTTTCAAACTTAAAAAATGCAAAAAAGGTCGATAAGGGCGTTTTAGTCGAGCGGCCAGATGTGAAAATCTTTTTACCTTTCAGATTTTTTGTGTATGAACCAAAAACTCTCTTCATACCAAATACATACAACAGATTCTTAGGTACGTTTCGTTATTTATATGGTGGTCGAACGACTAACTTTTTCAGTGACTAATATGTTCCTTTTTATATATGTATGTACTCGTACCTAACTTTTTAAATAACGCTATATAAACGCTTTAATGGGCAATAACCAAAAAACAACACTGTCAACTCTCACCGTTTCTCACAGTTGTGCCTAGTGGTGATCATCTGACATCTCTGGTCGATGAAATATCGTACATATCACCGCCAGCACCACCTCTTTCACAAATTGATGATGTACCATCAGAATATTTCTGCAACGGTGACAATCGGCCGCCAAACTGTGGACCCAACTGCGAATGCACGCACATGGTCGATATACCTCTCGGAGCGATCGTCGAAGTAGTTTTGGTCGATGAGGTGCAGCAGGTTAATTTGAGCCACCCCTTCCATTTGCATGGTACGGCCTTCTATGTTGTAGGACTGGGCCGGTCGCCGGATAAGTCAATAAAAAAAATCAATCTAAAACATGCTCTAGAGTTGGACCGAATGGGGATGCTTGAGCGAGACTTCTCAAAGCCGCCACTGAAGGACACGATTGCTGTGCCCAATAATGGATATGTTGTTATGCGGTTTCGAGCTGATAACCCAGGCTATTGGCTTTTCCATTGTCATTTTCTTTTCCACATCGTCATTGGCATGAATTTGATATTCCATATCGGCACGCAAGCTGACCTACCGCCTGTACCACCTCGATTTCCCACGTGCGGGGACCATGTACCACCCGTAACTTGGTACTAGTAGCTCATAGTAGTTAATAATCACCCTAGTATACTCTGTGCTTTTACTTTTCAACCCTACGTTACGTATGTATGTATTTATTAACTGTTCGCATTAGCTTAACTTACTCTTAGTCCGAATTAATAATACGCAATAGAAAAGAAATTAAATATTCAGTCTGAAAATACTGAGCATCTCGCATATTTATGTACATATGTATGTGTGTAAATACATAATCTGTCTGTGTTTACTTTGTAAATTAAACAGCTGAACTCGATGCAATAAATCTGTCTTATAAACAGAATGAACAGCGACAGTTAAGACATCCGAACTGACCAATTCCATTTTATAGTCGCTTCTGACGCGGATCATCTCGTATCGCTAATCGATGAGGTGTCTTATGTGTCGCCACCATCGCCAATGCTTTCACAGTACAGCGACATACCTGAGGAGTACTACTGCAACGGGGATAATCGACCATCTGACTGTGGCGAAAACTGCCAATGTACTCACAAGATCGATATACCACTTAATGCAATCGTTGAGGTTGTTCTGGTCGATGAAGTTCAGCAGATAAATATTAGTCATCCATTTCACTTGCACGGTACGTCATTTTATGTAATTGGCCTTGGACGCTCCCCTGATGCAAACATCAAGCGAATGAATTTAAAGCATGCACTGGACCTAGATCAACGCGGTATGCTTGAAAGGCGATATCAGAAACCCTCGTTAAAGGATACAGTTGCTGTACCAAATAATGGATATGCTGTATTGCGCTTTCGTGCTGACAATCCTGGATTCTGGCTTTTTCATTGTCATTTCCAATATCACATTGTAATTGGCATGAACTTGGTCTTTCAAATTGGGACTCTTAATGATCTGCCTCCTGTGCCGCCTAACTTCCCGCGGTGTGGTAATCATCTACCCCCGATAACGTCCACCAGCGTATGGTAGTAACATTTGCCAGTCCCAAGTGAAACTAGTTGAATGGCTTTTTTTAGTATAAATTATCTATCTGAATAAATGTGTAGCGTATGGCTGAGAGCCATCTTTTTAACGCCATTAAATTCTTCTCATTGAATAAAAATCAAAATACTTTATCAATCAAAAATCACATGTCTTGCAATATTTAATATTTTTTTTATACGTTCGATTTAAAAAACGATTTTGGAATATTTTCCAATACGCGTTATGCACTTATACATATGTAAATTTTTATCTGGACGTGATTTTAAAACAGCTGCTCAAAAAGCCGAAGTCTCCCGAAGTCAAAGTAAAGGAAAAGGAACGTGTAAGTCTACATCTTCTCCGCAAAGGTCGCGCATTGCACAGGGCAGAGTGTGTGCGAGCGAGAAAGAGAATGAATAGCGAAGTCTCTTACTAGAGGAGGTGCGGGAAGCAACTTAAATTAATTTCTTCATTCTGGCTATAATAATGATCCGATCTGATTCAGATTCGGTCATCTGGTAGATATAGTCATTCTTTAAGATACTGCGCTTTTAGTTTTTATCGTATCTTCAAAAATGTGGTTGCCACAGACTCACATGAGTCTGGAAACAAAATTCGGTTGCTCTAGCTCTCATAGTTTTTGGGAACTAGGCGACAAACAAGACGGACGGACGTACAGACAGACATGGCTCTATCGACTCGGTTATTGGTTCTGATCAAGAATATATGTATAAACATTATGGGGTCGAAATCTTTTCCTTCTTTGCATTACACACATCCACTTTTACCACAAATACAATATACCCCTTAACTCTTTGAGTAGGGGTATAATAAGAAAATCGAGATTAAGAACGGATTAAGTATACGGATGATGCGAATGCACAGTGCGCTTCCTGTACTCGACTTACCTTACTCACTTACTCGACTAATTATAAAAATATAAATATAAATTGTAATTATAAAATTTATTAACCTAACATCAAACTTCCTAACAAACAAACCAAACTCGAAAATGAACATGGAGAAAATCTATAAAATCAATTAAAACTAATTAAAATGAAATATAAATGAAAAAAATAATATAGAATTGAAAATCCAGAGCTGTAGGGAGCTTTAAATAAAGAACAAAACACAAGAACAAAAATGATCCGCAAAAGAGTTACTCTCTCATCTCTCTTTATCGGTCTCTGCCTGATTTTTGCTGACCGACTCTCCGCCCAAAAAAAATTTTAGAATGCACTTATATAAGGATTTAACACTAAATTAAAACATAATACTAATTGCAAATTTTCCCCTTTACCTTAACTTGATTTACTGACGAGTTGCTGCGCGAAAGAATGACTCTAATTGAATAAAAAAAAAACCCGCCGATCGCGTCTGATTCCGTTAAGCCGGCGCCGACAAGTGTTTCTTCACTGCTGCCTTCACTTCTGCACTTGCATTCTATTCAACAAAAAAACGGGGCTTCTCTCTTAGACGCTCATATGCTCAACCTGTGCTTTGCCTGCTTATTTACTAGGGCTGACACTTCTCCTGGACCCCTGAATGGTCACCGAGTTGAGGTTGGGTCCCCTCCGCCAGACCAGCGACTTCTCTGGAGCACCTTTGTATCCACTATGATAGACAGAAGACTCGAATATCTGACGATCGGCTTATTATTGTGTTCCTCTTCCTCTGCAGCTCGAACTGCTCCAAGGTCGGGGCGAAAATTGCTGATTACACTACTCGACACGAGTTTTCCTCAGGGAACAAAACCAACTTTTTCTTAAAGATTTAGGGATTAGAAATGGTTTGATGATATTCTTTTTTTTCTATGACACAACTTTCTTTTGTAGTATTTTTTAAATCTGTTTTTTTTTTCAATCTTTTTTCAAAGGTAGCGCTTTCTTTTTTCACGTAACTCTAGTATCTTAAGTCTGGTTGTAAAGAATTTTGCTATTTTGCAGTTGGGCCCGCAACCTTCGAAAAGGTATTTTTTGTTCATTTTTTTCATTTTTTAGGTTTGGTTAACGAATTTTAGCTTCACCGTCTCTCCATAGATTTTAATGAACAACACCTTAAACAACGCCTAATTAATGAGTCTATCTAAAACAAAAAATGTTTGCCAAAAATATTTTTTTTCGACTTTTCCTGAGTTTTTAAAATCAAAATTTCGGAAAAAAGTACCGCAAAAAATTATGAAATTTGAATTTAAAAGGTTAATATCCTCCAGGCGTTAGGCTGCAGCTACAAGTTGTCGGGATTGGACTTATAGCTGCATTTGTCAGCATTTCAATACTGAACAGTTCTATGCAACCAAATATAAGATACTTAAGTTATGTAAAAAAAAAAACACTACCTCTGAAAAAAACCATGAAAAAAATACCAGATTTTAAAAATTCTTTAAAAAAAGAGTAAACTATAAAAAAAAACATGGTTATATACAAATTTTTAAATCCCGAAATCTATCAGAAAAAGTAATTTTCGTCCACAGCGGGACCAGATTTTAAAAATGCTTTAAAAAAAGAGTAAACCATAAACACATAGTACTATACAAAATTTTAAATCCATAAATCTATCAGAAAAAGTATTTTTGGTCCACAGCGGGATCCAAAGATCAAGGATCCAAACCGACTTTTTCTGATAGATATGGGACTTTAAAATTTTGTAAAGAATTATGGTTTTTTTTCTATGGCAGAACTTTTTTTTGAAGAATTTTTGAAGTCTGGTATTTTTTTTTAAGCTTTTTTCAGAGGTAGCGATAGTTTTTTTCACATAACTTTAATATCTTACGTCTGGTTGTACAGAACTTTGCTATTTTGAAAAGGTAATTAAAACAGCTAGAAGTTGAGCCCAAACACTTTGTGATTTTAGCTTTTGATTTTTGATTCATCACCAAAATATATTCTTGAACAATCTCATCATGTGGCTGGACATGGATGATGATAATAATGTGGTCAACATTGACGAGGAGAATTTATTGTAATGGATCAATCAATGTTGTAAATACAATTATATATTCTATGTTTTTTAAGATGCGGTTTGGGACATTTTAGGAGAAATATGTAACCGAAAACAACGAGGCGTTTTTAAGGAAAGTTTTCTACAGCCATAACATTGTATACTTTGGCTCTTTTTCTGAGTACAGAACAGTCGGAAGGCTGTCAGCCAAAAGAGAGTGCAACATACTGCATGAGTTTTGCAGAGCATTCTTAAAAGAATTCCCAGAGGATAGTCCACAAACCGAGATTTGTGCCTGAGACAATTCTGACAATTCTATCAGATGTTCTGTTGTTGTTGTTTTATACCATATTCCTGTCTGTTATTGTTTATATTTTCGTAGTAATTGACAATTATCGAAAAAATACCGCACAGAAACTTGCGAATTAGGAACATCCCAGATGGATGGTGGAATAACTGGGAAATTTTCGG